AGGAAACCATGCAAATAATGCTCTTCAAACAAAAAAATCTACAGTACCAAGTAAAAGACATGGATCTTTTAGAAACTACACAGTAGGTACGTATTCCAAGAATACAATTACTAAAATTTAAATTCCGTTGTGAGAGACATTAATCACAGTAAAGCGTAAAAAGCTCTTGCACAGATCAGAGGCAAGCGTGGGTGTTTCAGAGATTCTCAAGTATAGGAACAAAAGAGGAACACATCCCCTCCACCATCTGGCCCGCCTGGCAACACGCAAGTGCTGAGCTGCTGGGGGCGGGGGCACCAGCCACTGCCTTCCTGGATCACAGCACAGCTGTCTGGCGGCTATCGGGAGAACTCGCTCCCCGGGGAAAGGGGTAATAAGCGTCTTTCCCCACAGCAAACGAAAGAGGTCCCCCCGCGGCGGGAAGTTATGCCCCGCCACGGCCGGCGGGAGCCGCGGCACTACGGGAACGGGACTGGCGCCAAAACTGACAGCCTTGCAGGAGACAGGGCCAGCCCCAGAGCCGTGTGAGCTTTGGCTCTGCCCGGCCCGGGCAGCCGGAGCCCCACTGAGCGCCCCTGCCCCGCTCACCTCCGCCGCCGCCGCTCCCGGCTCCTTTGCCGCCGCCAGGCAGCTCCCGCTCTTCACTTTGATCCCGTACGAGGCCCGGAGCTCCTCCAGCACAGCCAGCCGCACCAGCCGCCGCCTCTGCTCCGCCATCCCGGTGCCCCCGCCCTCTGTCCTCGCTCTCCCGGTCCGGTCCCCTCAGCCCCGGCTCAGTCCCACCGCCATCACCGCCCGCTCCAGCCGCGCGCACCACGCCCGCGCCTCCCATTGGGCCGTTTGCCTTCGAAATCAGGACCCGCCCGCCCAACGGCCCACCGGGGCTGCCCCACCGCGCCTGCCGCCCGCGCCGACTCTCAGTGTCCCCCAGCCCAAGGCCCCCGTGCTGCTCTCGGGCGATCGTACTGGCTACCTAAAGGACAGGGGGGAGTGGGACAGTGGGATTCAGTGCATCCCGCGTCCCATGTCTACATTCCCCGTCCCGCGTCCGCCGTCCAGCATCCTTCATTCCCCGGCCCCGCCACGTGCCCGCCCCTCGCCCCCGGAGGTGTCGGGGTCAGCGGTGCCGAGTTCGGGACGGTTCGGTTGGCTGGTTGACAGGAAATAAATGTCTCTCTCTGCGAATGTTTCAGTTAAAAACAGTAGAGCACCGAAGTTTTGTAAGCTGGATTCTTTCACCGAGCCTGATTGCAGGGGTGTTGTGTATTGGCATATGAGAAAGGTTGAGATTCTTCCCCCGTGTTTCAGTCGGAGGCACCGCTTTGCCCTGTATCAGCCTGGGGGTCTGTGCAGGGCCCTCTGAGGGGATTCACCATTTTCTGTTGACAAAACCACAGCCCGCAATTCAAGCGGCAGCTAAACCATTAGCGCCAGATTTGCTTGGGAGTTTCTAAATTTGGGGTTCCTTGCTTTTTCCATAAAATGGTCTCATACACCTATTCCTGAAGGGTCATTTCAGGTTTTGCACTAGGTTGTTACAGGAAGAGCTTTTTGCCTTTTTAAATTATTTATTTATTCATTCATTAATTTATTTTTTATTTTTTATTTTATTTTCTGTTCCGAAGGTAATTCTTCAACTGCCAATAAAATTACAACTAATCAAATGCAGTCTTTCTGTGTAGGGTCAGAAAAAAGTGCTGTACTGAAAATAAGCTTTCCAGCTTTTCCCTTAAGCATGTTTTGTTACTGAGTCTTACTTCACTGAGAGATGGGTATTACCACAAAGTTTAGACGCAGAATGATAATAAGGTTGTTACACTGCTCTGAACGCTTATGGACACAAAAACTAGAGAATAAAAAGAGAATAGCTAGAATTTTTCCAGAAGTCATCAAAATATAAACAGAAAAAAACCCCAACACCCAAACCTAAAAAGTTATACGGAATAAAGACCTAGCAGCAAGAATAATAGCACATTAGATATGAATTTTCTCACGTAAGCCTCCAGGATTTTGATTATGAATGTCATAATCAAGTCACTGAGCAAAAGTAATATTCCTCTAAATGTAGTTTTAGTGCAAAAAAAGTAAGTATCTACTTAAGTATTAACTTACTGTAAGTATTACTATCTGTCCTGGCACTGAAATGACAAGAAAACATGCAATTTCAAAACCTAAAATATCACTGATGAGAAAAAAAAAAAAAAAAAAAAAAAAAAAAAAAAAAAAAAAAAAAAAAAAAAAAAAAAAAAAAAAAAAAAAAAAAAAAAAAAAAAAAAAGGAATAAAGTAAATAGGTACCATAGAATTTAGTTTAAACAATCTCTATCCTACTTAGTTTTTTGTAGTAATGAATTAATTACACAAGAGGGAGCTGTGATCTGATAAATACATCAAAACTTTTCAAGTCAAGTATTTTCAGTATTCATGTAAAAAACCCCCACATTAAAATAGTATGTGCTGCATTTTTTTACAAAAAAAAAAAAAAAAAAAAAGTGGTGGAGGTAATCTTTTTACATTTTGCAGAGGATAATTGAAGTGACAAGATTAGCTATTAATTTTGTTTAAAATATTTGTCAAATATTTTAATAGCTTTAGGTGACTATTTTAACATATTTTTTTATTTGCAAGTAGAGACTAGAGAAGGAAAAATTATTTTGAAAATAAGAACTATAATTTTGGAACCAGTTGTAGCATGCTAACTCAAATCTATTACACTCTCTTGAAATCGAGTTAGAAAAAATAAACAGCTATTTGTCTTCTTCCCCCCTGCACTCCCCTCACCTCAGATTGTCTCAGAATTGATATACCAAGCTTCTGGCATTTTAAATTGTTTTAATTTTAAGCAGCTCTGGGTAAAATCCTGTCCTGAGTGAAGTAAATCATGTAACACTTTTTTGTCATCAGGAGGGCCAGGCTTACACTTCATTTTACTTGTAATACACAAATGTATTTGTACACACAGAGACACAGATACTTTTTCCATTGTTCATATATAGGTATATGTTTGTCTTTTGGAACTAAAAAGACTAAAGCATGAGAACCTACATGCCATTTAGTGTGGGATTTTTTGAATTTTGGAAGCTACACCACAAATGAGGCCTTTGAAAGACAAGTCAAGTGTTTACTAACAGTCTCATTTCAATAATCACTCAGAAGAGTTAGTGATCAAACCAACCAGAAAATCAGCCAGATAAGCAAAGCCAAGCTACTCCAACAAGCAGGATAACACGAGGAGTACAAGAAACAGACCTTACTCTGAAGTACCCCTCCCTGAACAAACTCAGAACTTGGTAGGAAGGAGTGCAAGTATCCCTCATTCTGGCAGTACAGTTGCTTGTTTTGTCTTACTTCTTCAAACAAAAAAGCTGAGGAAAGAAAGATCATAAGGGGAGATTATGAAAAATAGAGATCATGAGGGGAGAAAGCCAGACCATACTATTCAGAAGAAACTGTGAAAAGTAGCTGCACAAGGGATGTTTACGCAATGATGTACGCAGAGTTTGAGTACTTGCAGAGTTTATTCGGAACACCCGTACTCATTCTTGTTTCTTCCTGGCTTTCTGTCTTAATGAGAAATTATTTATTCCAACTCCCCGTTGTCAGCTTTCCACGTTATTCAGCCTGCACTCATGTTAGTTATGTTCCTTTTCCATCTCCCATTTCCTCTACTGCTTTGTCTTGTCTTCAGTAAGGAATTTGGCCCATGAAAGTGTTGAGAGGGGATCAGGCATATGCAATGTTGTCCTTACTTGCAATCGTTCTGAATTGTGTCAGAGGCAATACAGTCTGGATATTCTGAATACCACCAACATTTAAGGTTGTTATCCTATATATATCCTGTTATATTAAGGTGCATATCCCTTACTTCTGAGACTAGAATACTGAAAACTACTTACAGATCAAGAAAATTGTAAGAAAGAGGATTTAAAGTGTATTTGAAGTTAGGAAATAAGGTTAGAGTCCTCCAAACTGACATTCAGGATGAATTTCCTCTGAACCATGGTTTGAGGACAGAATAATTCTATTTAACCCAAATTTCACTTGGGTTATGAATTTGTCTCAACTTACCTGTTTCAGGATGGTAAGTTTCGGGTTTTCAAAGAGACAGTTGCAGAAAACTAGATATAATGATCTTAAAATCTTAGTATCAGTTGCATAAATTGTTAACTCTGTATCTGAGCTTGCTCCATATACAGATTTCACATGGACAGATTATCAAAGCTGGCTCATTTGGCTTTGAATATTCCATACTAAGAATCATCAGTATTATGTCTGAAGTATTCTAAAACTTTTTGGATTTTGTGAAAAGTAGTAATTGAATTTGTTTTTCACATTTACTAGTGCTGTAGTCAAATAAGTTTTTGTAATGAAATTTTTGAATATTTCTCAAATAACATCAGTATACAGCATACCTGTCATCACAGGCTGGATAATCTTTTACCCTCATTCATTTTTCTTAGGGTGCTCCATTTCTCAAAGATACAGCAGTGTTTTGTTTCTGTTCTATTCAAACAATTGTATGTTTGCATTTTTACTTCCAAAAAACGTGAAGTAAAAACAGTTTTAAATCCTGATGTGAGAGATTTATTTGATAATAGTCTAACGTAAATTCTAGGTTCTGTTTTGGATTTGTTGTTGTTTTCCTTTTGTTTTTATGTGTGTTGATGCAGGAGGTGGGGGGAAGGGGAATGGAGGGGTGGAGGGGGACTAGCTTTTATACCCAGTATTTTTAATTCAGACTTTAAAAAGTGTCTAAGTGCTTAAAGGTTTATCTGGTTGGTTTTTTCCCACCTATACCAGTTGGTCTTACCACCAAGCTCTTATCTACCAACCTGGTCTAGGGATATAGGTAGGATAATGAGAGTTGTCCTGCCATTAGTGTACAGAAATGCTTTTGTGTGTTTGTATCTTGCAGAGATATAAATTTGTTTGGAAATATGGGCACTAGCTATTGCTGCATCTCTTTGTGTGTCAGCAAAGATTGCAGATCTCCCCAGCATGGTCTCAAGGTTTTCTCTAAATACAGAGAAAACAATAGCTTATTCAGGCTCAAGCAAGGTCTTCAGGCAGAGCAAAATGGTAATTCACAGAATCATATGACTGCCTGAACAATTCACAGAAAGACCGGGCTTGGAAGGGATCTGAAAGGTCATCTGGTTCCAAGCCCTTCACCATGGTTAGGGATGCCAGTGACTGGATCAGATTGCTCAGGGCCTGTTAGATCCCAGGTTTGAGCTACAAGCTAATCAAAGGGGTTATACTTTAAAAACAAAGAAGGCTCCAAAAATCCACTCACCAGATCTATTAAAAGTTCTTTTATACCTTGAGAGAGTGCATGGGAGGTCAAATAACACACTTTGGCTGACAAACTTTAGAAAAGAAGGGAACTTGACAAAGTTTAAAGGGCAACATTCAAACAAAATAAAGCATTCCATAAAGTATTATCTTAGCACCTGCTAGCCCATACAGCTTAGCAAAATCCAACCCATCTACCTTGTAGTTACCCAAATATCAAGAAAGGAGATTAGGAGGAGAAGAAGAAGCAGTAAAGAAAGAGAGAGAAAAAGAGACAATTACAGCTACCACCCCATATCCAGTGTAGATCCAGCTACCAGCAGTCCAGAAGGTGGCAGGATCACAATCACACGAAGGTGTTGGTGCTGGTTTTATCTGCTCTGACCCCCTGTGGCAATCTGCCCCTGCCCTGAGGCGGGACTTCTTGTGTGCCAGCCAATCTGACATACACATTTGA